CAAAAATGGAAGTGCTCATTTTAACTCCTTTCATCACTCTGTCAAGTGGTACCCATAAGCAACTGTCACGTGACTAACGTAATGACATAATTAACAAAGGGAGATAATCTTCTTTTTTTTTTTTTAAATTCCTAATCGAAGTAAAGTCATCTTTTATCTTTTCTCAATTTCCTTTTACCCAGTCTTACCTCTCACTTGCACTCCGTCCTTGCTTGGAGTAAAATTCTTAAAAAAATATTTGACGTTTATCACTTTTTTTAACAAAATGATGAACAATCTTCTTTGAAACATTAGATGTGGGAAAATAACATGAAAAGAAACAATATAGTTATTATTATTTTATACATGGAGGATTTCACAGTTCTAGAATCATTCCTTCATGATTAGCCTATGAACTTTTTAGCCCACCCTCGTCCATGTATGCATATGGGTGTGTTCATGTGGCTGCATATTTGTGAATAATATGAAATTATCTTTCGTTCTTTCAATCTCTCTCTCTCTCTCTCTCTCTCTCTCTATATATATATATATATATATATATATATATATATATATATATATATATATATATATATATATATATATATATATATATATATATATATATATATATATATATTGTAGCCAACAGATCATTATTTAAACACATATTTTTTAAATATAACAGAAAAGGAATGTCTATTATGCATGATCATGAGCTGTTCGAATGTTTGCTATAATTTCATGTGAAAATAAAGACAAACATTTTACAAAATTTTGATACTTTTTTTTATTAATTTGATCCTAATCTTTCGGTTCACATGAGCCATCCTCGGAGTGGGTATAAAGATAAGAAACAAAGATATCCACCCTCAAAAACGATATTTTGTTATTTTGACATAGAAAATTGCTATGCGACGATAAAGGTCGCGGAATAGCAGACGCAGTTCGTAAATTCAAGATGCGATTCTATGACGTCATACCACGCGATAGTATTAGAACAGAACCAATGTCTAGATGCAAAGTTATCGTCGCATATAGCAATTTTCTATGTCAAAATAACAAAATATCATCTTTGTTTCATGTCTGTATAATACAATTTGAATAAAAATTTTACAAAGAAATATCTTTTACAATTCTCTTCTCTTTTATCCAAAATGTCTTATCATCTGAATTATTCTAAGAAATTTAATAATAAAATGTGTGTCTTCATTTACTCCAGAATTCAAAGCAAATATTCCAACATTAGAACGGCTCATGGTCAGACATAATAGACATACATTGATGTTATATTTAACAATATGTTTATATATATATATATATATATATATATATATATATGACATGACATCTTCGCCGCGGCGTCAGCTGTTCGTCTTCGCTGCTCCGTCCGGGTGTCGCTGCTCCAAACGTGACGTTCTAACCCTTTGGTGATTCGGGTAGAATCTGGTTAGATTGATACCAGCCTCGTCGTTCCTAACCTGCTTCCAACGCCTGGTTACCAGGGTAACTGCACTGATCTCTAGTCTGCCTACCCACGTTGTGAATTGATCTTAGACAGACGAGATCAAACAGGGTTGGGGCCGTAATGCAAGCTGAGTTCAACGGGGGGTGATAAACACAATTATGTATAAAATAAAATAAAATGAAAACTCACAAAGTCCAAGGTATCAATCAAAAAGGTAACAAACTTTTTATGTCTAATTGTTCGGTACATGTCTGCTTCCCGACCCGTTCTGTGGATTGTGGCACGACGCTTTCGCTAGGCAAATTCTAACGCTTCAAGTTGTCTACTCTCTAAGAAATTTGTGTTTCGGTGTGTCTTTGGACGAAAGTCGAAAAAACTTATTTCTGTGGTCTGGTTCTAAGTCGCTCTTCAAACTACTTGTTCTTGGTTGAAGAAGAGTCCAAAAGTGTGCGTGAATCTTGGTCAGCTATCTTGATGTGGTTTCAACACTGGGCGCTCATCTCTGCTTGTCGTCCGGGGCTCAAAACTTCTCGCCAGGGTCCGCGGCTGAACTCAAACTGATTTCTGTCTGGTAGGGCTTCGTTTTTATTGACGCCGTCAAAACTGGGGTGGGTCTGTCGGCACCAGGGGTTCTTTGATAATTCTAAATACGTATCCACCCTTCTTATTTCTGGTTAGGGATTTTCCACTCTTTTCCATTTTTGGTAACTCTTTTCTCACTCCCACTCTCTTACCGTGCTTCTGAGGGGCGTGCACTACCTTCCCCACTTCTTCGTATCGGCTTCTCCCACTTACACTCTGATAGAGGCTTCGACTGATTTTCTTCGTGCGTCACGTGACCGCTCTCGGCCAATGAGGTCCTAGTCGGTATCTTTCCTCCTCCTTCGTGCGTCATGTGATCCACTTGGCCAATGACGTCTTAGTCGGGCGTGATCAACCCGTGGCTTTGTTTTGGGAAATAAATACCTTGCTTAACTAAAAAAAATTTAATTAAATCGCCCTTATCATGAGCGGCCGATGTGACACTCTCGGCTTTAACACGTGGCGTTCGTCAAGCAGTTTATCGCTAATTGGACATGATCTAAGAAAGAAATTTTCCTAGCCTACCTGGCGTCTCTAAAAGCAAAAATAAAAATATTTCATTTTTCTTTCGGCCCAAGGGTTGATAACAAAAATCTTTATTATCACAGGGCAAACGTTTATTCTGTCAAAAGAAAGAAAAATTTAGCCAGTGAAAACTTCTTGTGTGGGATTTTTTTTAACACAGGGAAGACTGTCTGTGTTCGTCAATGTTCAACAATGGATTTCTTCTTTTGGGTGATATCTAATTGATAACAAATCGGAAATCGGTCAACGCTTGTACGTAGGTGACCTAGATATTTTCGACATCTGATACCTATCAACTATAACCTTTTTCCTCCTCATTTCCATCTCTTAAGCCGTGTGTGTATGTTCGCCTATGACCCGTCTCGTATTACTTTTTCTTTCTTTCTTCTTCGTTTTCTCTTTCTTTCTCCCAAATCGCTTGAATGCAAAGAAAGAATTATTCTTAAAACCTAAAATATTTTTCGGCCTTAAATAATTATCAAATGGTTGATAAACCGTAAAAAAGCAAATCATATATCTATAAATATTTCTTTCAAATCGTCCGGATGCATGGTGCCACATATATATATATATATTTATTAAAGACATTTTTATGTTTAACGTTCTTTTTTATAGATACAAGTATTTCTATGAAAATTTCTCGGACATTCAGGCCGGTAAATGTTATTTAATACTGTTTATTATAAACAGAGCATTTACTTAAATACTTGTATCTATAAAAACGAACGTTAAACATAAAAATGTCTTTAATAAATAAATTGTCGGACTTTGTCCATTTCTTAATATATATATATATATATATATATATAATGGACTCTCCCGTCGGTTTCGACGTATGAGGATCTGCCAGCTTATTGATTCAGTTATGAAAGTATATGCGCTAATCTTAAGTGGCATTTAATACCCGCTAGTGATTTCCAAAATAGGCCACATATGGAGCAAGTGTGAGGATTGTGAGATGAGATCACAGTTAGATTGGCTGACCTTTTAGATCTTGCTCTCGCTTCTTGAAGATGATTCAGACAAGCATATTGAAAATTGCTGAGTCTACTAAAACATGTTGATCTCCATCCTACCCGCTCCAAATCTAAGCGCTCAAGGGTGTCATGTGTTATATGTGACAAGCTGCTTTTCAGTTTGTCTTTGAATTTTAGCCATGAGTGTCCTGTAGCCTTGATCTAACTGGCTGATTATTAGGATCTAGGGTATCCTGTCATCAGATATTCTCAAGACATGACCAGTCCACCGTAACTGAGACTGTATGATAAAAGTCTCGATTCCTCCAATAAAACACCTATTAAACAGGTCTACGTTAGATGTCCTATCTTGAAGCTTAACTCCACAGATTGCATGCAGAAAGCTTTTATTATATATTATTATTATATTAATATATATATATATATATATATATATATATATTACACGTATTAATTATGCATATCGTAACGGTTAACTCTACAGAATATGGGACCAGCGGGACGAGATCAAATTCCAGCCAAGTCTGTAGAGTTTACACTTGCACACATCCTCTATATGTTTTTGCCTCGCTAACCAACTAGCCCTGGGTGGTAACAAAACTATGATCCATTCATTGTCTGTCATATTAAACAATATGTTTATATTTATATATTTATAGAGAGAGAGAGTGAGAGAGAGAGACAGAGAGAGACAGAGAGAGGTGTGTGTGTTGCTTGCGTATACGCGTGCATATAATACATTTATTTATTTCGTCCAAGAAAAAATAAGATAGACACACACAATAGACAGAGATTACAAACGTTCATATTGATATAAATATATATGTATATAAGTCTCCCGGTTTTAAACTATATCGAAAGACCTTTCATTTTCGAGGTTTTCATCTTACATTTTTCCCCTCCTGTATTTTTTCCTTCTTTTTATTCCAGTGATATTCTTTCTACCCTTAGTTCCTCTTTCCTTTTTTTTTCTACACTCTAAAGCTTATCCATTGATTCATTAAATCGTTCGTTCTGTTTTATAGGAGCCAGAATTCAAGCTGTTCAGTGACATATCTCTGAATGTGGGGCACGGATTTAGCCGATCATGCAGATCGATCGAGAGGGAACCGAATAAAATTCGAATCATGAAAGTGTATCGAATAAATAAAATACGAAGTTATATCACATCCTTTGTAGTCAAATACCTATTTTCTCCATCCTCCTATATATATATATATATATATATATATATATATATATATATATATATATATATATATATATATATATATATATATGATAGAAGATAGAGAGATAGGTAAATGGATATACAGATAGATTAGATAGATATTGATAGATAGATAGATAGATAGATAGATAGATAGCCGATGGCTGGAAAGTAACTAGAAATTAGAATCTTATAGAAATTTTTCGATAGATAGATAGATAGATAGATAGATAGCCGATGGGTGGAAAGTAACTAGGAATTAGAATCTTATAGAATTTTTGATAGATAGATAGATAGATAGATAGATAGATAGATAGCGGATAGGTGGAAAGTAACTAGGAATTTGAATCTTATTATAGAATTTTTGATAGATAGATAGATAGATAGATAGATAGATAGATAGATAGATAGATAGATAGCCGATGGGTGGAAAGTAACTAGGAATTAGAATCTTATAGATAGATAGATAGATAGATAGATAGATAGAATGAATGATAGCCGATGGGTGGAAAGTAACTAGGAATTAGAATCTTATAGAATTTTTTGATAGATAGATAGATAGATAGATAGATAGAGATAGATAGATATGGCGGATAGGTGGAAAGTAACTAGGAATTTGAATCTTATTATAGAATTTTGATAAATAGATAGATAGATAGATAGATAGATAGATAGATAGATAGATAGATAGCCGATGGTGGAAAGTAACTAGGAATTAGAATCTTATAGAATTTTTGATAGATAGATAGATAGATAGATAGATAGCGGATAGGTGGAAAGTAACTAGGAATTTGAATCTTATTATAGAATTTTTGATAGATAGATAGATAGATAGATAGATAGATAGATAGCCGATGGGTGGAAAGTAACTAGGAATTAGAATCTTATAGAATTTTTGATAGATAGATAGATAGATAGATAGATAGATAGCGGATAGGTGGAAAGTAACTAGGAATTTGAATCTTATTATAGAATTTTTGATAGATAGATAGATAGATAGAGAGAGAGAGTGATAGAAATAGATAGATACATACATACATACATACGTACATACATACATACATAAATACATTCATACATATATATAAGCATAAATACATACATACAGTGTAGGTGGGATGTAATTAGGCATTACAAATTGATTATAGTATTTTTAATATCACTGAAATCATGACGAAAGCATTTTTTAAGCAGAAAATACTAAATGTCTTATTTATGTGCTGCAGCTAATACCTGTTAACTGCAGAATGCAATATGGAGAGTTAATTCTTGGCTGGCACGACGATTGTCTTCAATTGTTTTAAAAGATCATCTGTAGCGACTATAACCAAGTTGACGTTTTCATTTATAGTCACAACTGCCATTAGTGGTCGTCCTGTTATAATAATCCGAAAATGACGCTTGCCTGATTTTCAGCTAACCTCAAATTTTAAAATACCTGTTAAAAATCTTGAAATAATTGTTACAATATAAATTTTTGGCATTTGCCGCGTCAAAGTCCCTCAGAAGGTGAAACTATAAATTATGTCCATGGAATATTAGTGTTTAAGCCTTTATATATATATATATATATATATATATATATATATATATATATATATAAATTATATATATGAAGAAACACATTGATATATATATATATATATATATATATATATATATATATATATATATATATGTATATATATATATATATATATATATATATATGTATATATATTATTAATTAATTGATTTTAAAATATGTTTTTTCGCTACACAGTTCCAACCATGTTTCAAAAAATAAGCTAAAAACCCGAATTTAATTTTGCAATTAAAAGCATTAGTTCCATTTCATCTTCAAGCCGAATTTTGGAGTAACTTTTAAAAAATTACCGGGTTTAAAGACACAGCTAAAATCACATTTCCATGGTTACAGAATATTCTACTTAAATTGAACAAGGGATGTCTAGATTTCCTTATGTCAGTATCATTGTATCAGTTATTAGCTACAATTTGGAAGGGGTAGGGATGTATTTTACCATGAAACCTGACATCAGTTGAATGGATGTCGTCTGAATGTTTTTTTAAAAAATTGTTAACGGTAAAAAAATTTCAACGTCACTTTTTAAATTTCAAGATTTTCGGGGTTTTTTTTGTTTTAATACTTTTTATTTAACTACGATTTGAAATATTCTCCTTTTTTAATCTTCAGTTTTTTAACTTCAAAATAGATAAAATTAGAAAGTTATTATATAAAGAATTTAAAAGCATGGGCTTAAAAATTACGGTTAGTACAAAATTAAACTTCCTAGATATAACTTTAGATCTAAATAAAAATACATACACGCCTTATAAAAAACCCAACACCAATCCTTTATATATACATCCTAAATCAAATCACCCCCCATCTATAATTAAACATATACCGTTATCTATCAGTAAACGAATTAGTACAAATTCAGCAAATAACAAGATTTTTGATGAGCATATCAATTGCTATAATAAGGCTCTAAAAGATAGTGGCTACAAAAACCCAAAACTAGCTTATATAAAAAATGAAAATGGAAAGCATAGAAAAAAACAGATGTAGAAAAATTATTTGGTATACTCCCCATATAACCAAATGGTAAAGAACAGATTAGGACATAAATTCCTCGCATTAATAGTCAAGCATTTTCCTAGTGAAAGTAAACTAAGTACTATTTTCAATAAAAACACACTAAAATTAAGTTATAACTGTACAAAAACTTAGAAAAATCTTTAAGAACCATAATGCTAATATCTTAAATAAACACTTATACCAAAACCAAAAAAAAGATTAGACAATGGAAAATTAAGATAACAACTGATGGAAATAAACTAAAACTATGTAACTGTAGAAACCCTCAAAATTGCCCACTACAAAATAAATGTCGTAACTGAATCATTAGTATACCAATGCAATATCTCTTCGATTGAAATATATAAAATATATATAGGTTGCACTAGCCATGAATTCAAAAAAGATTCAACCAACATCAAACTTCCTTTAGAATAAATAGATATAAAATCAAACTCTCTCTCAAAATATTTCTGGCATCTAAAAGAATCAAATAAAACACCTACAGTGAAATGGAATTAATAAGAAAAGCTAGAATTTGTAGATCATTAAACGACCCTTCTGTTATATATTACTAAGTTTATAAAAAATATGAATCAGAAAAATGAAAAGCTATCATATGCCGTCATTGTCAAAAATTTTCCTTTAATATATATATATAAATATAAAAAAAAAAAGTGTAAAAATGTTTTAAACTTGTATTTAAAATTTAAAATTTAGTTAAAACGTATTCAAACATAAGCATCTTTAAAAATTGTATTAAATAAAATGTATCCCAACGAAACACCTCTATAATGTTCTACAAACACTTGAATGAATCCAATAAAATATACTGAAAATGAAATTATAACAAAACTAGATTATTAATGTATGACCCATTGTTCTTTGTTACATACATATGAAACTTTATTTAAAATATATTTAAAATAAATAAATTAATTAATTAATACATAAAGTTTACTAAATCTGAAAAATGACTTAGATAGTTTTGTAGTAAGTGCCATTTATATTACTTAAATAATATTTAAATATATTAGTGTAAAATTGTAATTTAATATACTTTGATATGGAAAAATAATTTTACTTACTAGGAGTAATTATCCTTCTGTTATAAAAGTAATATAGTCTATTAAAACTAACAATGATAATATTTTAAAAAAATTTTTGTGGTAATTTTAAAATTGTAATTAAAATTGTAGTTAAATAAAATGAATTTAACCTGTTCTTTGTACATACATATGAAACTTTATTACTTAGGTTACATATATTTAAAATAAATAAATAAATTAATTAATAAATAAAGATTACTAAATCTGAGAAATGACTTATAGTTTTGTAATATAGCCATTAATATTACTTAAATAATATTTAAATATAAAAGTTTAAAAATTGTAATTTACATATACTTGGATATTGAAAAATAATTTTACTTACTATGAGTAATTTTCCTTCTGTTATAAAGTAATATAGTCTATTAAAACTAACAATGATAACATTTTAAAAGTTTAAAGTTTGTAATTTTAAAGTTGAAATTAAAATTATAGTTAAATTGAATGAATTCTAACCTAAATTTATTTTAAATAATACAACACGCACTAAAAAGAATAAAAAAAAAAAAAACACGTATAGTAAAATAAAATTAATATAAAATACCATAAGATGCAAGCTTTTGAATGACCCATGTCCTTTGTACTTACATGAGAAACATTATGTTACTAGGTTTATATATAAAGTAAAAGTTTACTAAATCAGTGAAATTAAGTTACCATAAATCTGAGAAATGACTTAGATAGTTTTGTAGTCTGTGCCATTAATTTTACTTAAATAATATCTAAATATAAAAGTATAAAAAATTGTAATTTACATATACTTTGATATGGAAAAATAATTTTACTTACTAGGAGTAATTATCCTTCTGTTATAAAGTAATATAGTCTATTAAAACTAACAATGAAAATACTTTAAAATTTTAAAGTTGTAATTTTAAAATTGTAATTAAAATTTTAGTTAAATAAAATGAATTCTAACCTGTTCTTTATACATATATAGGAAACTTTATTACTTAGGTTACATATATTTGAAATAAATAAATTAATTAATAAATAAAGTTTACTAAATCTGAGAAATGACTTAGCTAGTTTTGTAGTAATGCCATTAATATTACTTAAATAAATATTAAAATTTAAAAAAAAAAAAAAATTGTAATTTACATACTTTGATATGGAAAATAATTTTACTTACTATGAGTAATTTTCCTTCTGTTATAAAGTAATATAGTCTATTAAAACTAAACAAGGAAAATATTTTAAAATTTTAAAGTTGTAATTCTGAAATTGTAATTAAAATTAAAATTGTAGTTAAATTGAATGAATTCTAACCTAAATTTCTTTTAAATAATACTACACGCAAAAAAAAAAACACCTATAGTAAAATAAAATTAATATGAAATGCCATAAGATGTAAGCTTTTGAATGACCCATGTCCTTAGTACTTACATGAGAAACATTATAATACTAGGTTTATATATATAATAAAAGTTTACTAAATCAGTGAAATTAAGTAACCATTTTTGCCGTCATAGTCATAATTTAAAAAAAAAAAAAAAAAAAAATGTAACCTCATATACATAAACTTGATGTTAAAATAATCCTACATAATATAATGGATTCTAATACATTTAACTGTTCTTAAAAAGAATATAGTAAAAAAAAAAATTAAAAAAGGAGAATATTTCAAATCGTAGTTAAATAAAAAAAGTATTAGGAAAAAAAAAAAAAAAAACGAAAATCTTTAAATTTAAAAAAGTGACGTTGAAATTTTTTACCGTTAACAATTTTAAAAAAAAACATTCAGACGACATCCATTCAACTGATGTCAAGTTTCATTGTAAAATACATCCCTACCCCTTCCAAATTGTAGCTAATAACTGATACAATGATACTGACATAAGGAAAATCTAGACATCCCTTGTTCAATTTAAGTAGAATATTCTGTAACCATGGAAATGGGATTTTAGCTGTGTCTTTAAATCCCGGTAATTTTTAAAAGTTACTCCAAAATTCGCTTGAAGATGAAATGGAACTAATGCTTTTAATTTAATTGCAAAATTAAATTCGGGGTTTTTAGCTTCTATTTTTGAAACATGGTTGGAACTGTGTAGCGAAAAAAAACATATTTTAAATCAATTAATTAATAATGTTAATGCTCTGTAAATTTACATTGAGCACTATTTTGTAAAAATAAAAATATCTATAAGAACACCGGATTTTATATCTTACTGTTCTTTCTTTTATTTATATATATATGTATATATATATATATGTATGTATATGTATATATATATACATATATATACTTAAGTTATGAAGAAACACACTGATATATATATATATATATATATATATGTATATATATATATATATATATATATATATATATATATATATATATACTTAAGTTATGAAAAACACACTGATATATATATATATATATATATATATATATATATATATATATATATATATATATGTATATATATATATATATATATATATATATATATATATATATATATATATATATATTAAGTTATGAAAATATACTGATATATATATATATATATAATATATATATATATATATATATATATATATATATATATATATATATATATATATATATATATATATATATATATATATATATATATATATATATATATGGACCAACACCTAATGTTTCATCATGAGGCGCTCTAAACTTCGTATGAGTGCTTTAAATTCGGGATAAAATAAGGACTGGTTGAGATGGATAAACCTTACGCAAGAATGAAAATAACACTGTCATCTCATTTTGACAGATATATTGAGATACTAAAGAGTAATTCTATTCAATATAAATCTCCATTGTCTTCAACCACGGCCTCTAGACGACTTGGGTCCTTCTACAGCTCTTTTGGACGGTCTCCTTGTTTAAGTTGTTCAATGTTGCCATAACCCTTACCTTCAGTTCATATTTGGTATTAGAAGCAGCTTTGTAGGTCTCACGTATAACTGGACTCCTTACAAAATAATACAGTGGGTTGCAGTCTGAGGAGTTACGTGGTCAGATGCAAGAGGAGATGTGTCGCAGAAATTGTCTGACAAACATGACTGAATTCTCTTGCTTTTATGGTATGGCGAAAAATCCTGTTGCCAGATATAGGTTGTTCCAGCGGGCACCCTCTTGACCCAGGGGAGCAATACCTCCTCAAGGCACTTTAGGTAAGCCTCCGTGCTGAGTCTGAGGCCATGTGGGAAGATGAGTCGTGGAATAACTTAGCCGTCACTAGTGATTACTAAAACATATTAGTAGTAACCATTATCCTCATACAACTCTTTCCGAATTCTACACATTGGCCTCAATTTGACACACAAACACTCTGAAATATTTGCATTGGGGCTTCTGGTGCGAATGCCAAGCAGTACAGCAGTCCGTTTCCAAATTTCTGGCGGTGTGTATCGCTTCATGGTGCGTAGAAAAACAGCCTGTAACAAGATGGTAAGGAGACGGCTCCAATGAAAACTAGCAATCTTTATTGAATTGTTAGGACATCACACACACACACATATATATATATATATATATTTACCACCTTACCATCTTGTTACAGGCTGTTTTTCTACGCACCATATATATATATATATATATATATATATATATATATATATATATATATATATTTCAACATCGATATTTTATTACTAATGGGGAAAATACAGAAATTTATAAAAATATTCAATTTAAATGACGTAATCATGTCGAATTAAATTAGTAGCATAAGACATTAATTCAATGCGATAGATAGATAGATAGATAGATAGATAGATAGATAGATAGATAGATAGATAGATAAAAGTGCAAGCAGGCAGATAGTCAAAGACACACAGCTAGAGTGAGAAAGAGATTTATGGACAGCGTAGTCAGAAAGACACACAAGCATAGAGACATGAAGGCAGAAAACAGATTTATATATATATATATATATATATATATATATATATATATATATATATATATATATATATATATATATATATATATATCTATATATGTATATATGTATGTATGTATAGATAGATAGATAACTGGGATGGATAATGGGCAAACAGACATTGATTAATAAGGCATATTATAGGAAGTTGTGTAGTAACCTGTACGCCTTGTTTGCCTATACTTACAAACAACGATTGACGAACAGATACAAATAATCTTCAATCGACATGAATATATTTAAGAAGATCGAGCCATTGATCACTTCATCTATTTTTTTTTCTGTGGTGGAGATTAATATTTATTCAGCGCAGTAAAGTCTATGCTAGGTCGAATATTATACTATAATGTAATAATAATTTATTATTCTACTTTATATTACTTTATATTTTATGAGATGACATAGTTCCGTTTAGTGACGAATGATTAATATATATGGAAAAGGCATGTGTGCAAATGGCCCTGTGCCAAACTATATGGCATAAGTAAATAAAGATTGTTTCTTCGGTGAAAACAAACGGATTATGGGATTGATTTCTTGAAGGTAATCTAAATATTCATGTCGATATCGTGACAGACAATAAAATTCATTCACATGAACGTTGAGTTGTATTAGATAGATAGATAGATAGATAGATAGATAGATAGATAGATAGATAGATAGATAGATAGATAGATAGATAGATAGATAGATAGATACTACGCTAGAGAAAGTGTGTGAAGTATATGAAGAGAGTGTTAGTTGTAGACTTCGATAGATAGATAGATAGATAGATAGATAGATAGATAGATAGATAAAGAAACAGAATACGACAGACAGACAGACAGATAGACAGATAGATAGATAGATACTACGTTAGAGAAAGTGTGTGATATGAAGAGAGTATTAGTTGTAGACGTCGATAGATAGATAGATAGATAGATAGATAGATAGATAGATAGATAGAAAAATAAAGAAACAGAATACGACAGACAGACAGACAGACAGATAGATACATAGATAGATAGATACTACGTTAGAGAAAGTGTGTGAAATATATGAAGAGAGTGTTAGTTGTAGACTTCGATAGATAGATAGATAGATAGATAGATAGATAGAAAAATAAAGAAACAGAATACGATAGACAGACAGACAGATAGATAGATAGATAGATACTACGTTAGAGAAAGTGTGTGAAATATATGAAGAGTTAGTTGTAGACATAGATAGATAGATAGTTAGATAGATAGATAGATAAAAAATAAAGAAACAGAATACGATAGACAGACAGACAGATAGATAGATAGATAGATAGATACATACATACATACATAAGAGCATACCGAAATCGATAGATAGATAGATAGATAGATAGATAGATAGATAGATAGATAGATGCATACATATGAGCTTACTTAGATAGATAGATAGATAGATAGATAGATAGATAGATCAGGAGAGACCAAGATCCATTAATAGACGAGACTCAAATAAGCAGGTTTTGCAATCACTTTGACTTGCTATAGATCCAGATTGTATTTTTATAACTTATCTATCTCCAATATTCTTTTTGTCTATTGTGGTTTCTGTATCAGTCGAGGTACTCTTTCCTTTAACCGTTTGTCTGTGCATGCGTGTGCAGCTGCACAAACCCGTGTGTCTGTACCTTCGATATAAGAACGTTCGTCTATCGATATAATCAGTGAAATATTGATTTGATCTCCGCTTTTGGAATTCTAGTCTTGTTTCTTCAGTTAATTTAATTTCGAGCGAACATCTTCCTCTGAGGGGCGTAGCCTTTGCGTCTTATTTCCATTTTCACTGAACATGGCAAATAAACATGGCACAAGAACATTTGATGTTGAGCGATTCGCGTATTACAACTAGGCCAGTAGTTATGCCTAATGCAAGTTGAATTTAATTTAACGCACGTAGAAATTGAAGGCACGATTGTTAACCTAAATTTACAAAACCTGTAATTAATAATTAAATACTTTAAAATACCTATTCAAGGTCATAAAATACAAGAAAATGTGGAGGGCTGTGATCCCCCAAGGCACGAAGTTGCATGGCATACATACGTTGATGAGATGAAGATAATATAAACCAAAAAGCAAATACACATGAGCTGGATTTTTTTCTTTTTTTTCTTTTTAGGACGTATTCGATCATGGCTCATCACAACTTCCTGTTCCTTGTAGCTCTTAATAAACTTTGTCTTTCTGTTATTTGTTCTAAGCCCTGTTCTGCCACACATTTACTCAAGCTCACTATGTTATGCATTGTTTTCCTTTGTTTATTTTGCTTTCAGTCTACCCTGTGAGTATCAGATTCTCTAAAACTTCCTTCCACATTATGTGCACCAGAAATTCAACTGACTGTTCCTGATTTTAAATATTAGTTACTTTATTGTTTCCATTTTCTCTAACACTTTTTCGTTGCTCACATATTCGGTCCATGGTATCCTCAGCATCCTTCTGTAGAAATTTCAACTGTCTCTTCCTGATGTTAAGTATAAGTTTCCTTTTTGTTTCCATTTTCTCTAAAACTTCGTCGTTGCTCACATATTCGGTCCATGGTATCCTCAGCATCCTTCTGTAGAAATTTCAACTATCTCTTCCTGATGTTAAGTATAAGTTTCTTTTTTATTTCTATTTTCTCTAAAACTACGCCGTTGCTCACATATTCGATCCATGGTATCCTCAGCATCCTTCTGTAGAAACTTCAACTATCTCTTCCTGATGTTAAGTATAAGTTTCTTTTTTTGTTTACATTTTGTCTAAAACTTTGACGTTGTTCACATTTTCGGTTCATGGTAACGCCAGCATCCTATTGAGGCAACTCATTTCTGTTCAAAATTGTTAACCCATGAAGCTGGATTAAAATAATTAATTTCCCTGTGTGGAAAAAATAGACGCCTTTCGTTAACAACAGCCTCTGCATCTAAAGTTCAACAGTTTAGAACAAAGATAAATGATATTTACTGAGTAGTTTGAGTAGAAGTCTTCTCTTTTGATTGTGTGACCCTACACATAGCTGCCAGAAAAAAAGAGACTTTTTATGTGACCCTACACATTGCTGCCAGAAAAAAAGAGACATTTTATGTGACCCTACACACAGCTGCCAGAAAAAAAGAGACTTTTTATATTTGTATGTTTTGTAATGCACGATTCAACTGCTACTTTTGCTACTACCTATCTGTTCTGCAGTTTTTGGATAGAGAAGTCGTATTTCTCGTAATCTATTACCAGTATACATCTATCGACAATCGTTCCCGCCAAAAACAAAAAAAAACAAAAATCAAAAAAACAACAAAAAAAACTCTTTGTCAAAAGAACAGGTTTTCCCTTGACATTGCTATTATTTTAATTAACTTCACTCCTCGGCAATGTTTATTATTTTTTAAAAGTGAAAAGTGAAACTAGCGTTGTCATAGGAAAGAAAATCCTCTCTTTTGACACCCATGTTTGCCCATAACTTTCTCAATCTTGAAATCGAACTCAGCCCTCAAATTCCTTATTCTTGGCCGCTAACCAGAGCATCATTCCTACATCCCAAATTGCCAAACTTTCTAAATGATAATATAGTCGTATATTTTAATAATTTATTGGCAATAAGAGAAAAAAAGCAACCCGGAAAGTATTAATAATGAAAATCCCTCGTTTAAGAACAACGGAATAGTATTCAGTAATGTGCAATGCGTGATACACGCTTAGGCAATCATGTATCTTTCGATACACGAATGATGTTTTTTTCTGCAGTAGGTTGCCATTTCTTTCTGAGGTAGACCAGTTGACATCCAAGGTGACAGAACCGGGTGTGCACTGATATTTACGCAAAGCTGTGGATACTTGACTACACTTGTATCGATTTTCACCCTGGTCGGGTTGAACAGGATTCCTCCCGATCAAGTACAGCATCACGGACCATCGCTGCCCACGCTCGCCGATCCTGGGCCAGGTCACATGAAATGGCGAGCCATCGCGATTCCATCGTCGAAGACCAACTACCTGTGGACCCGATAGTACTGCTAGGTCATCCTTGATTGTGCTAGCCCACGTCCTCAACTTCCCACCGACACGTTTTCGCCAGCCAGGAAGAGAAGGAAGGAGAAGAAGCATTGGATGAGCTCTCCCTCCGGGCGTCGAGCTGCGTGCCTGAACCATCGGAGACGACGCTGGAGCAGGACGGGTGGAAGAGGACGGAGACTCAGGCGAAGACGTAGAGTGGCTGTGGGCACACAATCGATTCGGCGCCGCAAAGCTGTGGATAAGAAGAAGATTCGTACCTTTCCCAAGGCTATTAGTACGTAAGTGAATGTACTGGATTCGACTGGTATTCGAACTCGGCTCTCCGATTCCTCAATCTGAGCCTCTATCAACTACTCCAGCGTGCCTCTTATTACTATTACTAGTGCTATTTTTTACAGTGAAGTTTATCATGTACAAGGCCCGAGGGACATTCAAGGGAGAGTGTTCCAGATTAAAAGGCAGATTGTACGGATAGAGAGGAAGATAAATGTTAACCTTAAGCGTGAATATGTGAAGATTGTAGCGATCGGGGAAACATGCTCTTGGGAATTGGTTCCTAAGATCAGCGGTTTGCGGAATGAAGCTGTTTAAATGGAACTACTCAGCAATGGAATCAAGAGGGAACAAGGGTGGTTTGTTCCAATGTGAGAGACATGGCGGGTCCTAGGTGTGAATGTTAGAATTGGCGGAATCAAGGAATGCAGTTCGCCTGAGAATTTCCCATGTAAGTAACGATAGAGCACCGAGACGTTTGCCACATCCTGTTTCTGAGAGAAAGACAGGAAGGTAAAAAATAACTTGACATCCGCAAGAACTCGGAGACGCTTACGGACACCATCACGACTGGGAACTAAAGACTGGGCAGTTCCTGACCAAATATAACAGGAGTCATCCATTTTAGGCCAGACAGGGCGTTTGTAAAGACAGTGGATATCACCAGGAGTCATTTACTTACTCGAGCGGTGCAATGAAGCAGCAATTTTTAATGCAACTTTATCGATGTCTCCTATGTACGAGTTTCACTTGATGTCAGTCGAGAGTTTAAGCTCCAGTATATTCTCAAGGCACTGAACCTGCCCGAGGGGACATCTATTCATCGTAATTCAACATGTTGTGTATAATCGAATAAAAATTGAACAAAGAGAAGTAAGACAGGGATGCGACTTTTCAATGGATGTATTTAAACTGTATAACGAAGCGATACTAAGCAACCTTGAAGTTTTATCATATATAATAGTCGTGGACATGAACACGCATAAAATTTTAAACATACAACATAAATATTACGGTTCATCAAAAATTTCTTCTAGCTAGAAACAATTTTGTTTATGAAGTGCAGTTTCATTGGGAGATTTCATCTCCAATATGAACACTCCCTAGAGGGTTACTGAATAACGTGATTATAATAGCCTAAATGAAAGAATAAAGAAGTGACTATTATGGTGTTATGTAGGATAGAGAATCGTTGACCATCGACATGAAGAGGTTAAGATGGTAGTGATAGGAGTAGTTTTCGCTGAGGAATCTTTTTTTCCCTTTGTAAAAGTTCTGGAGAAGAAGCTATCTGTTTGGAATTTCTTCTTTATCAATGGAATACGAAGGCAGTTCGACCATTTCTACGTGGCATGGTAGGTCCTAGCTATATATATATATATATATATATATATATATATTTTTGTGTGTGTGTGTTTGTGTATACACACATATGTGTGTATATATATATATATATATATATATATATATATATATATATATATATATATATATATATATATATATATTTCTGTGGATGAATGACAATACATATGCTCCTGAAAAATTGATTTCGGTTGAGCTCTCTGGGGAGGAAATGTTGGTTTGTAAACAGTGGCTATTATAGCTAATAATGCAATACTATTACGGCTAATAATGCAAGGTAAATCGAATCGAGTTCTCTCAGTCTAAAAATAAATACGCTTAAATTCCTCCCTGCCGTGCGCCAACGTCTTAGTGGTAGAATCCCGACTGACGCCAATTTAATCGGGTTTTGATCCTAGTTAGAGGCAACCGGACGTCTACCAACGCTGGTCGGCTGTGATACAGCAAATCAGTCTGTCTGTGGATGACTATATATATATATATATATATATATATATATATATATATATATATAAATAAAATAAAGTAACTTTCACCACATCAAGCGAGGCATTAACATGTGTATTAAATTATAAATACAGTCTAAATATATACTAAGTTTGTGTACCTAAATTTTAAAAGCGTTTAAATTTAATTTTAAAAAAATCAAAACGTATATAAAATCAGAAAAATTAAAATTATTTCATGAATCAAGCACTAATGCAATTGTTAGGTAAAGCGAAAATGTACTGA